TGCTCTCCGCGCACCGTGCGCCGGTCCTTGCTCTGCTCGTTGGCTGCCTCTGTTGCGAAGTCGCTAGGCATGGCGCAGACTCACGTCTCCATTCAGTGGGATCCGAAACTTCCTCTAATAAAGATATATCCACCTAGGCTCCCCGTTCGGCTCTCTGCGGCGGCATCGGAGGATATGGTAGCGGCGGAGGCGCTCCGTTCAAGAATTACGCGGCCTTCGGGGACCTCTCCCCAAAAACAAGTGGTGGCAGCGGTGGCCACGGGAGCAGCAGGAACACGAACACTGCACAAGCGGTTTCGGAGTGGGCCTTACGGAGCAGACAAGGGAGCGGGAGGCGGGAAAGCGCCTCCAGGAAAGCAACAACTGCTGTTTGCTTCCGTCTTCGTCGCTCGCTCGGTCGAACGGTCTGTCCGTCGGTCGCTCATTCCGAGGTCCAGCTGGCCCTTCAACAAACAAATTGTGGAATGACTCTAGATGGATTTTTTGACTTCTCCCGAACTTTTTCCGTGCCGTTCTTCCGGCGGTAGCAATCGCTACGTCTACTCCTTCCTCCCGGTCAGGACATTGAGCGTTCAGCTGGAGTTCCTTGGAAATCAAAATCACGCCCGCTCCGAGCATTCACGCCGGTAACTTGAGGTTCCATATCAAGGTCGATTCTATCTGCTTGCCGCTGGAGGCAAGTTTCCGCCTGAGCTTCGCCTCTACGTCAATGAATTTGACAAGACACCCAATTAATTTGACAGTCACGCAAAAACTATTTCGTGGGCAAAATACCCTCCAAAATAAATTATCTCGGGATGCTCCATGCTCTCGTCAGGGGAGTCTCAACCATTTAAAAGCACCACTATGGCGGTCGCAATGGTGTCGAACGATATCGAACGTGCTTCGAACGGACAGGAGAACATTCTTCAGAGAGAAATTTCGGTGCCGAGTCCTTGGAGAAACGGAGAGTAATTCAAAGCCACATGGAGCATTGCTCCCGGATTCCCGAAGGACCAAGCGAAGACTCAGAACATGTATCGATTTGGAAGAATCCCATATCTTGTTGGAAACGGCGCAAGCAGGCTGCTCATGCTCAACTTCTGCTTATATCTCCTTTTCCTTCTATCCCCACCTCAAGGCAGCACAGAGCAGAATATCCCCTGGAAGGATAGATGTTTTGCGAGAGTGTTCAAGGAAATGGCTGCGGAAGATTGGGGGTATAGAGATGATACGCTTAGAGGCGGGACCGAAAGTTCAGCCTGTATCATTAATCAGCTTCTTAGGCGGACCCTGGGAAGTGCCATCGTCTCGAATTGCTGTTTTCTTGGCTCCGGACCGCCGTAAGACAATCCGAGGGCTTATAGGCCAGATCAACACCTTTCCGGCCATGTCCTCTATTTCAGCAGCTTATAACTCCACTGCCGCTTCACTCTCTTCATTCTCGCCTCCGTCTCGGTTCCCTCTCTCTTCACCCTTCTTCCGAATGTTTTATTCTGGTCATTGCTGGCCGATTCAGAGATATTCCAAGGACGAAGGTCAAGGGATGGAGGAAAGCCCCCGAGGAGTTTATCGAGCCCTGATTGACAAGGAATACACAGCGTACAGTGCTTCCTCCACTCCTCATAGTCGGTGCGAACCTTAGGTCCTTTCCTTTTGATGCTAAATCAATTGGTGATAAATTATTTCTCGGGACTGTTCTCTCACAGATAGCGAAAAGTCTTCGGATTGCGGCTAGCGACGTGATCGGAAAGCCACCGAGTCGCGGTCGGTCAAGTCACCGGGCATCGCGCTCACCGACCAACCGGACAGTCTCTCAGTCGGTCGGTCGGCCTGCCTACTGGTGAGCTCGAGTCGTCTCGGATGTAGCAGTGGCAAATTAGAAGCAGGACGCTTCTCCGGAGCTCTCAGAAGGAAACTGTCAACTTACCGAGTCTTTGCCGGTCGAGTAAGTGAATCAGACGTCCACCTCTCTTTTTTCATTCGATTCCCTATGACGCCGAAATTTGCAGGTCGTTTCGAAGGTCATGCTCCCACGCGGGGATGGATGTTGACTTGAGCAGATTGAGGCTCGACGCAGGCAGATAAGCTCTATGCGAAGCCGATATTCGATTCGTCGACCAGTGGAGGAATAGCCGATGCTTTCCGGTCTTTTTTTCACCGCAATGATCGGGGATCGGAGTATGAATTTGGGGGCGAGCCTCCGATCCGAAAAGGAATCATGATGGAGTGAATTCGCGTGCATCGGGGGAAAATGAGCATCGAACGAGCTCGGGATCTACATGTCTCTCTGGTTTCTCTGCATGAGATTCGAGAAATACTATAAGATTCGATTTTGGGTCTTGACATTCTGATGAATAAGAAGGCGTTCCAGCGCCCTCGCTTCCCAGACCCGTTGAACTATGAGGCTATTTAATTTCGTTCCACTGCAGTTTGAGGAAAAATTGCCTCTGAATTTGTCGGCAGGTCGAGAGCTGGAGTAGACGCGTGACGCCTGTTGGGCGTTTCCCTAGGAAGCTTCAGAGTGACGAGGTGTCCGACCGAGTGAGCTTCGTCGCCTGCCTATCCCCGGCTGGGTCACGAGCTGACTGGGAGACTGGTTGACTGGCGGCGACGGCGGCATCCGATCGAAGAAGGTGTCAGATTCGCTCCGCCTTAATAAGAGAAATTAAAGCAAAGGTGTGGCATCGTCCGGAACTGTGGGGAAAAGAACTATGTATTCAAAGTCCCTAAGAGCAAAGTTGTGAGGTCTACAGACACCTCCCACAATGAAATTTTGTCGTCAGATCCCAGCGCGGCTCAAGCCTCGAGTGCCCCGGAGCATCGACAGTTTCTCGAAACCCGTAAAGTCGTGAATTCTTCCCACAGATGGAGAGGTCCCCCATGCTCGTCCAGCATCCCGCAATGAAAATTACTGTGTTTTGGGTCACGATAAATGCCATTTGATTTATTTGTTTTTTTTCTGTATTCTTATATCATCATCATCATTGTGTTCATCTCAATAATAAATATTTAAATATAATACAAATCAAGGAACAACTAATCCTATATGTACATACGGTCACTATCCAGAGCTCGGCGGACGACGAAAGAATATCTCAATCAATTCATACATCGGATCGAATCCATCGCTACAAGTGGAAAATTCTCCCTGGATCAAAATGAGGATCTGAGACAGATCAACTGAGAAGGAGCCGCTAAAATCCACCGCTCGGCAAGATAATTCCTCTTCACACAACACACTTCGCTTATGTACATGATTTCCGACCGTATCGAGATAGTCTAGAGAAGTCTGCCGCCATCAACGTGGTCAGTGAGATGAATCAAAACCACGACACCGAATGTTTCGAACAGAATCCTAACTCGAACTTAACGGAATGGAGCCCTCGGCTAAACAAAGGAGAATGACCACGGCCGAAATACTTCGACTGGAGACCCAGATCGAGTTTGAAAATCTGGCTGGCGGAAATCACCCGACGCTCATTGAGGCCTCGCGAGCCGCTCATCGTCATTCAAAGACAGAAGTCAAGTATCATATAACGACAAGACTGACCTCGAGTTTAACATCTTTGTAATGATTCCAACATCGATAAGGATATCCTGTATAAGTGTCGCTGCAGTCTCTTTTCCGGGCTGCCGAGGCGCAATCGCGGTTGGGAGCAGGGGTGGATCGAGGTGGAATTTGCGGGGAAATTCGGAAGAAGCTGTGCAATCCCCGTCTAATGGGAGAGTTCCTCAGGATTCAGATCGATGGGCTGTGGTGGTTCGTTGGGGAGGATTTCGACCGTCGGATGGTGGGATCTCGTGTGGACGTAGAGGGAACACAAGGACGACGAAAGCGAAACCGCTGACGATTGCTTACTAGTGACAAATACTCTCTCACACTGAGACACACACAGACTGGAGTCGATACAACGCGGTCAAGGTCTGTATACGCTAAGTAGATAGACGCGGTTCGCTTGGGGACGCACATGAAAATACACAAATATATGATTTCTGCATCTTTTCTTCGAAATATGAATCCCCCTGAATCTGTGAACGTTTTTCCCCTCTGTTCTTAGGGAACAAATCCCGCCTGTAGATTCTCGTAATCGTCATCAATCGATCACCATGTTAGAAAATACTGAAAGAGTCCTGCCGCAATCCGTATTCTTGGCGAGCTGCCTCCGATTGTGACCGGAAGTGGAGAACACTATTTCGGTAATTACGACCTCGGGCGAGCCTTCCCGCGGATCACTGGCGGCTCGATTGTGTTTCGGAATAAGCTCGATTGTTATATACGGTCGAGCGTACCCCTATGAATTGGGCCCGATTGTTATACGACCTTCGTACGATTTTTTCACACCAGAACACGGAAGCTCGGATCCGCGTCGATCATTTCATGGTCCTATTGAGGTACGAACGAGGCTCAGAGGCGTGGTATCTCTCGATTCTCCGTCGGTTACGGCACGAACGGGGTTCGATTGTGGTACGAGCACGACAGGAGCAGCCGTCAAGCTGCAGAGTCAACGAGGAAAATTCCACTCATTCATTGATCCACCGATAGCTCCTGGTCGTCCTACTCCCGGTCGTTTCCTTCCTCAGCTCCGGGTTCTCCGTCAAGGTTTTCATCTTTTTACAAACACCAAAATACACAGGCAGTTTCACGTGTTTCTGCTCTATATCCTCCTCTTCATCAAAGTTATCATCTTCATATCACAGCAGTGCGGGCTCGAACCGTAGTGTAGCCCGTGTTTCCTGTCTTCTTTGTTACTTTCTTCCTGTTCTACGGATTCTGCGCCCATGACGCCATTTAGCTCTCCGAAATGCTTTCTGACTTGTGGTCCACCTCAGGACGTTCCTATCGTCCGTCCAGGATTGTATGTACAGGATATGGCCTAGCGACGACGTTCCCAACATGTCTCCGTGGCTTTGTATCTGTCCGCAGTACAATAATTCGAGATCAGGAGGAAGAGAGGGGGAGACATGGGGTGAAGGCCCCACCGGTGCAGTGGAAGAGTTGAACACTCTTCGGGATGACCTTACCGGAGCAAGGAATGGAGGATCACAACGGCCAGAATTATGAACGAGCTAGGTCTGATACTGCAATCCGAGTGGTTCGTGAGACCTTCTTTTTTACCAGCACGCTCCCAGAAACGCTTCCGTTCAATACTGTTGACCTTCTTGAATACGGACGTGTCGTCGGACACTGGTCGCTCGGGAACTTTGTGCTGCTGGGTTCGCTTGTGGTGGGGCCAGTCATGTTTTCGGTGAGGTGCCACCGAACTCGAGGGGGCCGCAGCCGCCGAGGGCACGATCGGATATTGGGGCCAGTAGTCGACCGTACTTCCTTCCGAACTCGCGGGATGGTGGCGGTTGTGATGAATGCGTCGGATAGGCTTCTGGGTCGGCGGAACCGGATAGAACGGGTAGATGACGCTATTCTCGTCAGGGTTCGGAGTCGGTGTCGTCGTCGTCGTCGTACTACTCGAGCTGGGGTTCGCTCGGTGGATCTGCTGATCACCCTCTGCAAGAAAGAGAATTCGATTCGGTTAGTTCCGATTTTCGGATCGCGTCGCCGACTTGACGCGCTCGTCCGCGAAACCTCTACGAGAGCTACTTGAGTCCCATTTCAGTTTAGACAGGAGGACGAATCCCCGAATGGGAACCCCAGATGGGAGAGAGAGAAAAAATAAATGAAAATAATAATAAAAATATCAATAATCTATGTATAATAATCATCAGCTTTGAATCAAAAGTCGAATTGAATTATGCGTACCTTTCTTGCAGCAAACTTTGAACTGGACCTTCATGTTCTTCGTCAGGCAGTGGTTTTCGCCTTCGCGAATATCTTCGGGAGCCGCAATGAAATAATAATCATTGCCCGGCTTGAACTCCAAGCCTCCTGGCTGAGGAGTGAATGAGCGGAATGTGATTGTGAAGTACATGCTCTGATGCGGTTTGTTGCACTTGGCGATGATTTTCGCCCGCGAAAGATCTCGGATGGAACACGTCTCGTATTCTTCTTTCGAGACGTTGTAGATGATGTATTTCTCAGTTTCGTCTTCGGGCACGTCCTTGTCGTGTTTCGGGCACACGATGTTGACCTGGTCGTATTCGAATACCGTGTTGCCACGGTTGACATCGATGATGTGATCCGTGTTGTCGATACGGAATCTGGAAACGAGAAGAGGAACCCGTTAGCGTCATAGCTCTGTCTGCGAACAGCTTCCTGACGCAGGGATCATCTGGATCTCCTCTTAGCGGAAGAGCCCCCAAACTTCGTTAAGCCCAACGCTCCGGGTCTCGGGTTCGCTTGAACAAGAGAGGTAACATGCAGTTCGCCGCTTTTGTCGGCTGTCACTCGCGTTCGTGGTCGTCGTTGTTCAATTCGAGGTGTTTCCTCTTTTCGCGCGGATAGTTACGAGATTTATTACTTATGTTGCTTAAAACGAAAAAGCCGCCCCGACTGAGACAGCGGGAGTTGACCCTGGAGGTGTTTCGACGTGCGTATGTACGCGACTTCGTGTGCGTAAAGGACTTCACGCGACGGGGGGGAGAGAAGGAGGAGAAGGAAGCTAGCTGGTATGCCACTTCTCCGCGCGCGTCCAGATTAAACCGCTTGTGTTGTTTGCTGGTCTGGAGCGGAGGGACAAGCCGGCCAACAATCACTTCGTTATGCCTTCCCCGCAACCACTGCCGCTGTACTACACGGCATTGAAAACAACGACGACATACCGAGCGTCGCGTGAGTACCCGACTGAGCCTGTGGGTCCTCTCTTTCTTCTTTTCGAAAACTAAAATGTCCGATTCGCTGTGGGTTTCGGTGCGCCAGTGGAACAAATTTTAAATTTCTCGCCCCGTCTGATATTCGTCGATCTGACTGTGAGTGGGGGAATAGACTCTCGCTGTCGGCGGACAGGACGACGACCGCAGCAACTCTCGTAGGCATCGTGAATCCGCCGTACGACCAATCCACGGAGTCGGTAACATTGTAAACAACTTTGAGTTGTCAATTGAAAGAAGAGAAGCGACTCAAAGTCGAATGCCTTCGTTGAGAGCTTCGACGATAGGGTGGAAGGGTGAATTGGTGGGTGTCTCACCGACCAGCCTGCAAGGCGGGGAGTTTGAACGCTAGCCGGGAGAGGAGTCGGGGGTAGGTTGAAGATGCTTCACTGAATCCTAATCTCCTTTTTGTATTTTGCCGGTAGCAGCGAGCGGGAGACTGGGTTCGCAAATGTTAGTTTAATCCCCAGCCCTGGCTCGAAACTCCTACCTCAAAGAGAATGGTGCATTTTAGATTATAGAGTGGGAAGTCAGGACGTCTCAACCACCAGAAAGGCTCACCGGTCTCAGGCTGTGAGTTGAGAGACGTGAGCCTCCCCCGGCGCAATTGCGCATTCCCTCGCTGAGTTTCCTTGACAGAAAACTCGAGCGACTTCTCATCTGTTCCCATCTGGCAATCGATCCGATTGCGATTCCCGGTACCGACTTCGTCGGAGACCCTCGCAAGAGCCCGGGGAGTACATGTGAACGTTCTCGGTTCGCCGTCCTGTATTCGTCGACCTGACAGAAGACATAAGGGAACAGCGTTCACCGGGTTGTAACAAGGAGAAGAGCGAACGGGCTCCTCGAGCGAAGAAATTCGAACAAAGCGGCTCAGTCCCGAACAACTCTTCGCCTGCAAATCATCCATTCCAGGAAAGTAATGATGAAAAATTACGCTCCCAAATCCGCTCGTCGTGGAGGCTTAAGCGTTCCTCGTAGAAGAGAACACGATTCCGTCGAGTCTCTAACGTCGCCCCGACTCCTTCGTTTCTATCTATCTATTTATCCATAGTCGCTGGCTCCGGGTCCTTTCTCTTTTGCTGGGATGAGCTTCTTCACAAATGGACGTCCGCCCTCGTCTGAGTCACCCGGAGCGGCGACGACGACGACGACCACTTCAAAAACACTCCCAGATCTCCTTACACTTCGAGCAACATAGCGGCGGCAGTGTCTGGTCGGCCGTTTCGCTTCGGTCGATCATGCCTCCTTTTTCCTCCCCCTCTCCGGCCCCATTATTCCTGAGCGTACCCCTCGTGTGCACCCCATGAGCCATTTGACATGCTTGCATTTGTTGTTGTCGTTGTTGGTGGTGGTGTCCATCTCACAATAGAATAACGCAGCAAGTTGGATATTGAATAAGGGAGGCGGAATACGGAGGCGGACAAAGCCAAAAGCGGCTTCGAGCGACTGAGGGAAAAACTGAGGAAGCTACGGCCCGAGCCCCGACACGAGCTCTACCGCCGCCTCCACCGCCATTGCCGCCCGTGGTTTTACCAAGAGTCCCTACGCTGCTGGTGCTGGCAATGCCCACAGCTCAAAACGACTCGGATGTGGGGCGTGGGCAACGCTTGCCAAATGGACGTGATTTACGCCCCTTTGGGGTCAGAGATCCGATTTGAACCCCGGGCAACGTTGATTTCTCATTCGGTCTGCTAGTCCCGCGAGCTCGGTCGCTCGGTCTTTCTCTCTATGTGTGTGCGTTCGTTCGGTAGTCCGTTCCCGAGCGCGTCCGTCCGTCAGTTGGTCCTTCCGTCCAACTCTCTGACCGGGTGTGTGACCCGTGATATAGAGCACTTCCCAGAATACTTGTCATAGTTTGCCAACGAGAATGCATTCACAACAAATACGGGAGTTCATCTCGGCGGCGAACTTGACAACAACAACGAGCTGTTTCTGTTTCCTACTGGGCCTCAGCAAAGGGTTCTCAGGCGGTGTTCCAGCCTCTATGCTCGCTCTCGTGGCTTGTGGAGCTCTCCTTGTCCTCTTCGTCAAAACATCAGAATCAAAACATCATATGCCGGTTGTGCTATCACTTCGAGAAAGGGATCCAGAGCCGGAATATGGACGCGCTCGATCCGAGATACTCGACCCGGCAGCGACCTAGTCAGTCACTTCCAGTCAGTCAGCCAGTCAGCCAGGTAGTCAGCCGAAGCCGAAGAAGCCGTTCGGTCTGAAGAGAGAGAAAAACGAGACAGATCCGAGCGGACGAGAAATGGAGAAGCCACAGCCCCATGAGAGGATCCCCGTGAGAATCCGGATCAAAGAAATTCTTCCTCCTCCGCACCAGGATCCGAGCCCTAAAAGTTCCTCGCTTAACGCTTAACTGCCGCCTCCGACACGAACACCGAGCGCAGCGAACGCGTCCTAAATCGCCCATTGGCGAGGGAAAAAATTTAGCGTTCCATACAACAATAATTAGAAGCGTGCGAGCTAATTGCCCGTGAAGTCTCCAGATCTCTCGAGCGAGAGAGCGAGCATGGTGAACTTGTTCACCTGGTGGAGTTTGTTGTTTGTCGTCGCCGCTCTTTCGGTCGTCTCCGCTGTTGGCGTTGGTGGAGCACCACATGAAGGACAGGAGCAGCATAGATTATCGAGCAACGCTTTGTATTCAAAACGACTCCTCTCGACACCGGTGGACAAAGCGGACTCGACGCCGAGATTCCAACCACGTCCTGACCATCTGGAGAAGAACGACGTCGACGACGACAGCAACAACAAAGTCGCGATCCGAACCCTCCCGTAGTCGACTCAGGCCATTGATAAGCGAGCGACTGGAAAGAGCGGGTTTCGGACCAAGAGTCGCCCGCCGGAATCCTGCCGATGCAAGCCGGGTCCTCCAGCCAAAAATACCTCTTTGGAGGAAAAGCGTTCTGTCAAACAAAACTCAAGCCTGCCGGTAGAAATGTCTCGCGGCCAGAAACCGCATCGCTGATCCATACATCAGCGAACCACGGGCTGGAACATGTTTCCTGCGCATGTCAAGGGGTGGTAACCGACAAGATGTATTCGGATAATTAGTTAACACTCACTCGGCTAGAAACACATGTTTGTAAGTGTCATATCGGATCTATGTGTCCGTGTGTCTCATAGGCGTTGAACGACCTGACGCCGAAGCGGTGGCACCAGACCCTGATGAACCGTCCGGGACTCCCACCCGTCTTCTTCTTCCACCCTCGGTTTCGGATTTCTCTCCAACAAGTCCACCTGAGTTCGATGATCACGTGGGTGATTCGTCGACGGGACACCCGAAGGGAAATCCGACGAGCCCGGCTAGCTCGCTAGAGCTTGCTGGAGTCTACCGAAGGGGTTGTTGAAACAACTGCAATCAACTTTTTTGACTGCGGCGCGGTGAAATAACACCGGCCCAACCTGGCAGGACAAAACTGTTCATTGTCTGTCTGGAGCTCTCGGTCCCTGCTGCTGCTGCTGCAATCCCCACAGGCTCTTTCTTCGTCGAGTCCATTCTTGTTTCGCTGTTTTCCGCGAGGCTCTATCTCGCCTTTCAAATCTTTCGGTGGTGGTGGTGGGGTGGTCTTTTAATTACGAAGTCCCGGCTCGGAACCTTTCGCTTCCGTGCGCTTCGCCCCGACCGTTCCTTTAAAGATCATACCCCGGCACTCGCCGCTGTCATTGTCTAATTCTTCTTCGACAATTCAATGCAAATCTCTGATTTTCGGAGCGACTCGGCCAACACCGAGGGAAATTGAAACGAGAATGTCGTGCTCCCTCAGGTCTGATTTGGTCTTGAGAATTATTATTTTCGCTATTTCTCGTTATTTTTTCTCTTTCGGCTTCGCTTTTCTATCGATTCCTTCGCTCATTAACTATCTGATCTCCGAGACAGATCGCCGAACGAACGAACGGACAGAGCTGGCAGAGCTATTCGGCTATCAATGGCAACATCACAAACGTCTTCGTCGTCATGGCTTTTTTTTTCTCGCTTCGTTCACCGCGCGATCTTCTGAACGTATCAGCAGAGAGCCGTGCCGATAGCTGCCACGCTCACTCAGTCAGACACGCGGGCTAGTTGGTCGAAAGGCGGTCGAGCACGCAGACCATGGAAACGATCCCGTCGTCGTTTGGGCGTAAGGCTTGCGTGATTCGCGTCTTGCGGAACGTGCGGCGTGACCCGCGAATAATTATTTCCTCGGAGACCAATCGCTCGTACCTGTCGTCATGACGTCGAACGAGCCGACGAGGCGGATTATCTCGTCTGCGAAGACAAGAGGAGGCTCTACCTCTGGAGGGAAAAATGCTTCTCGGAAGACGAGGGCTGCTTGAGTGCTGCACCGCGGCATCTCACCGATAGCTCCGTACGTTGGGGGTTCAAATTCAACATTCCGTTCAGG